ATGCCACAGTCCCCTAGTTTTTTATAAAGAAGGGGTGAGAGACAGTGTCGAAGGCCTTCCTAAGTCCAGAAAGACTACCTCCACTGCTACACCTGCATCTAAGGCTTTTGTGACCTGGTCATAGAAGACCACCAGGTTGGTCAAACAGGACCTGCCTCTAATGAACCCATCTTGATTGCCCCTAAGCATAATCTCCCCTGCTGGCCCCTCAGGATAATTCTCTCAAAAAGCTTACCCAGGATCAAGGTAAGACTAACGGGCCTATAGTTTCCTGGGTCCTGCTTCCTCCCTTTTTTGAAAATGGGAACCACATTGGCCCTTTTCCAGTCCTCTGGCACCACACCAGAGCACCATGAGTGCTCGTAAAGCCATGCCAGGGGTCCCGCAATGACCTCTGCTAATTCCCTCAGCACTCTGGGGTGTAGATTGGCAGGACCAGCTGATTTAAATATGTTCAATCCCTCCAGAAGTTCCCTGACTAGATCCCCACTGACCCTAGGCCTGGGTGTGCCTCCCCTGGGGCCTACGGTGGTCCTGGTGGGGGGTGACCCGGTCCCTGCTCAGAAAAATGGAGGCAAAGAAATTGTTAAATAGGTTAGCTTTGTCATCTGGAGTGATGACCAGATTTCCTAGCAGAGGCCCCACATTACCCAGTACCTTCTTTTTACCTGCTATGTATTTAAAGAAGGACTTCTTGTTGTCCTTGATCCGGGTAGCTAGTCCCAGTTCCATCTCCGCCTTAGCCTTCCTGACTGTCCCCCTACAGCCCTAAGCCATGCCTGGCCCCAGCTCTCCCTCCTCGGGGTCTCTCAGGGTCTTGCACCCCACAGGGCTCAGGTGGCCACAGCCGTGCCCAGCCCCCAACTACCTCCAGTGTTACTTAACCCACCCAAAGGTAAGGGCTAGGGTTAAGGTGCCCCTACCCGCCTTTCACCAGGGTGATAAGTGGCCTGGCATTTCCTGGAGGTTCCTGCGCCACTGGCCCACCAGGCCACCCACTCCCAGAAGAGTGCAGTTTTAGGTCATGTCCTGGACCAGGAGCCTCCTAGCCATCCCCTACAGCTCCTCCCTTACCTCCAGGATGATACATGAAGCCTCACAGCCAGGCAATGTTGCTGCCTAGTCTGCCAGTAGTGAACTCCCCTGTTTATATGGGCAGCCAGAGCTCTAAAATGACTGCAGCAATTAAGCACCTGCTGGCTGCTTGGCCCCAGTCTTAAAGTGGCAAGCACCAATGGTGCCCTGCCACACTCCTTCCCCCTTTAAATGGTACATGGGGGATGTTTCCCCTGCTGCTCCTCCAAGCAGGCTCCCCTCAGAGCCTGTGAGAGCCCCAAAGGTGGCGACACCCCAAAGGTGCTCCGCCACACACCTCCCCCCTTAGAATGAGACCTAGGATGCTTCACTTGGCTGCCTTCCCTGCTGGGCTCTGCCCCAGCCTACTGCAGCTGCTGCCACATGGCGAGCACCCCAAAGGTGCTCTGCCACACAGACAAAGAGCACTTCAGATATATGATGCAACTTTTCCTTATACCTATGCCCCTTCATCTTTTTCTCAAACCCATATGACAAGGTGGGTAGGATGAAAATTTCTGCCAAGGCAGACAAGGGTAAATCTGATATCTTATATTAGATCAACTCAAATCATGAACGACATGTACCCTTGGCAGCTGGGGAGGCACGGAGGTGGTGGGAGTGTGGCAGCAGCAGCAGCAGGAGTGCAGCGGCAGTAAGTGGAAGCTTCTGCAGACACTGCCAGTGCTGTCAGCAGCGGAGGGGAGGGAGTGGCAAGTGCCAACCAGGGGTCAGCGACCACATGCAGATGCCACCAGCAGCAGCGATAGTGGCCAGCAGGGATCACTGACTGCTCTCAGATGCTGCCGGCAGTGGCAGTGGCGGTGGCGGTGGCGGGGGGAGTGGCAAGTGGCAACCAGGGGTTGGCGACCACCTGTAGACACCGCCAGCAGCATTGGCGGCAGCCAGAGGAGATCGCTGACTGCCTGCCCAGCGGGGTCAGTGGCAGGGGGTGGGGGTGGGGAGCGGTGACCACCCACAGGCACTGCCAACAGTGTCAGTGGCACCTTTTTGTAGGGCGTGTACCACCATGCTCAGGGGGTGCACATGTACCCACGTGCACCCCCTAAGTGTCACCCCTGACTCAAATAGTTTGAAAAATTCTTCTTTGCAAGCTTTTGGTTACAAATACCCTTCGTCCGGATGAGGAAGCATCTGCAGATGGTCTGTGCTCTTCCTAGATAGGGCAGTAAAGCAACCAGAGGCCAGTACTTATGCAAGAAAGTCAGCTAAAATGTAAATTGAGGTGGTCAGCAGGTGAGAGACAGGTATGGGGGAGGAAGGAGAATAAATGTAGCTGTAGTCAATGGATGAGAAACAAGAGAGGGGTGGGGGGAAAGGGAATGAAAATAGTTGGTAAAAAGTGGAGGGTTTACTTTGGGAGTCAGATGTTAGGCAGGTTATAATGTGTCATAAATACAATGTCTATATTTAGTCCATGATTTTTTGTATCCAGTAGATTGAGGTAGTGAAGCTCATAGGTTCGTCTGTGAATGGTGTTTTCTTGCATACATACTGGCCTCTGGTTGCTTTACTACTTCATCCAGGAAGAGCACAGACCATCTACAGATGCTTCCTCAGCCTGATGAATGATATTTGTACCCAAATCTTGCAAAGAAGAATTTTTTCAACTATTTGGGTTGGTCTAATAAAAGATATTGGATTTACCCAAAGAACCTTGTCTGCTTATGTCCTTATACCAACACAGCTACAACCTACAACCCTGCTAACGAGGCAGACATGCAAGATGACATCAAAAAACAGAAGTCAGCCAGTTGCTTCTTACCTTAGAAAAATCTTCAATAGTACTACTGTTACTTCTGCTAAAGAAGGATGCCAGTATTCCTCTGTCAATTCCCACACTAATTTGTTTCCTGCCTTGGGAACTCCTGCTGTTCTCTCTTCTGTGTCTTTCAGACCACCAGCCTTATTTCATATCCTTCTGATTAGCTATTTTAGGACTCACAAAACTGTCCAACACCTGCTGCTACGTCCTGTAATAGGGCATGGAGTTCTTAGAGTTGAAACTATGCCATTCTTATTTTGGTGGTAGATGCCAATGCCTGTGCTAATATATTGCAACTCCTTGATAATTCTAATAGCATTACCATTTCAGAAGACACTTATGAGCACTAGAGAGCAATCTAAATGAAGCCATTTGTAACCATTTGCAAAGGAAGGCAAAATTGATGGGATAAAGTATAACATTTGGTGACGAGAGTCCTGAAATTATAAACTAGTCTATTCAACCCATACCAAACAATCAGCTTCCTCTGATAACAGGAACAAGTTAAGCAATACATTATACAGCTTTAGTCTCCTGTCAACACAATCAAGCAAACTTTGCCACCTGGCCAAGCAGAGCTCTTGTGTTTTCAAACTATCTGCTCCCACAAATGCTTGACATTCTTGCTAAAGCTGTATCCTCTTACAGCTATTGGAGAGCTGTTGTTAATGTCTGCATAATGGCTCCATGGTATTTAGGAAAGGCTTACATGCATTAGCTGCACATAATGCTGCAACCTGGCATGTGGAATGAATGTGAAAAATGCTTAGTTATTCCTCCTAAAACCTTGAAAAAACAGGACTTCAGGCTCCTAACATAGCAACAGTTCTATCTGTAGCTAACCCATTGCCAGAAGCAAGGAGGCAGGGTTGATGATTAGCTCTTGAAGGTGGAATTGAATGTAACGATCCTACAATCCAACCTGCTGCTCTGTAGGGAGGGAGCAGGGTTAAGGGTTGTTGTCTCCTTAGCCTCAGCTACACCAGTAAAACTTGAACCTCTTTTTTTCAACAACAGCATGGAACAGTTAGTGCTAGCAGTAATTGAAGTGCTAGTGTTGATAAGGCTCAATTTGTTGCTGATTTTCAGGCTTGTCCCATGATATTTAATAGGTCTGTGCAAAGTGGTATGTATTCGCTTCGGATTTGGATTTGGCCAATTTGGGGGACAGTGATTCAATTCAGAAATTTGAATCACTGTCCCAATTCAATTAGGCCGAATCAGATCCGTAAGATTCAGCGCCGCTTCGGAGATTTGGCCATAGACTAAACGGGCAGCTGACACAGCTGCCTCCAGCTGGTAAGTCTGTTGGGGTCAGAGGAGGGGAGAGGGATGGGGCATGGGGGAGGGAGGGATTGGGGCTGAGACAAGATGCCCAGCCGGGGCGCGGGGATGCGTTACTCAGGGAGGGGGGGGGGGAGTGCAGAATGCGGGCTCAGCGCCGCTTCGGAGATTTGGCCATAGACTAAACGGGCAGCTGACACAGCTGCCTCCAGCTGGTAAGTCTGTTGGGGTCAGAGGAGGGGAGAGGGATGGGGCATGGGGGAGGGAGGGATTGGGGCTGAGACAAGATGCCCAGCCGGGGCGCGGGGATGCGTTACTCAGGGAGGGGGGGGGGGAGTGCAGAATGCGGGCTCAGCAGCACTGAGCGTGGCTGCACCCACATCCCACACTCCCTGCACTGGCTGGCAAGCGGTGGCAGGGCACAGTCCCCACTCCCAGTGCTGCCATACCTGCATCCCATGCCCTGCTCCCCAAGTAACACATCCCCCCCACCCCAGCTGGGTAGCTTGTCCCAGGCCCAGTCCCAATCCCTCCCTCCCCCATGCCCCTTCTCTCCTCCCTCCCCAAACCCCAACAGACTTACCAGCTGCAGGCAGCTGTGTCAGCTGTCTGTTTAGTCTATGGCCAAATCTCCAAAGTGGCCAAATCTTTTCTGAAGCTTTTCCAAATCAATTTGGATGCTTTGAATTGATTTGGAACTTTTAATTGGTCTTCTTATTCGATTCAGATTCGGAGATTCAGTCCCCAAATCACAGTGAATCTCCTCCAAATCGAATTGGCTATCGAAACTTAGCACAACCCTAATATTTAATTGCCAAAAAACTAAGTTATCCCTAGGGGGTACCTACAGACATACTTGTTCACGTCCTGATTAGAACGCTCCAGCATCACCTCACTGTCATGTGTATTAAGCTTCTGCATGATCCATAATGGCCATGGGGGAACTTTATCTAAACCTCTTTGAATAAGCTTTAGATAAAGCGTACCACAGCCATTTTGAAATGTGTGGGGGCTTAGTATACATAATGGTGAGCCATTTGAATTAAAGCGGCTGTCTAGGAACCACTCTAATTAAAATGTGCCCCTGTCCCTTTGAGCACATGTATAGGCAGCCTTAATTTTTTCTCACCTGAAGTGAAAGCAAGGCAGAATAAGGCTTCCATGACACTAAAACCCACTTGAATCCATAACATTTCCTGTTCTGTATCCTTAAGGCTCAGTAAATGGAGCAGTACTTGAGTCAAAGGGAACATCTCTAAAAAAGCATGCAGCCATTACATTGATATAGAGCAGTTGTTTTCAAATGTTTTCATTTGTGGACCTCTAAAACTTTTGAATGGAGATGCAGACCCCTTTGAATTGTAAGTGTAGGTATTCACATACTTTTGATTGATCATAGTCATCTTTGGCAGTGTGACCACCAGGCCTTGAACATCTGGTCACGTGCAGCCTTGATCCGAGTGGCCGGTGGTGTTCACCCCACAGTTTCCGGTAAGCCGTCGAGTAGGTGTTTACTCCCAGAGTGGCCTCCCCCAATCTCTCCTGCCATGACTTTGAATGTTACCCCAGTGGTGGGGTGACTACTCGGGGTCCCTCTGGCATGGGGTCCATCTGGCGGTCGCCTGCGGGGCTCCACCTCCCCTACACCCTGACCTTATGCCACACCTAGATGGGTCATTGCGTCTTCCTGGCTACACTCCCGTTCTTGTTGCCTTTCAAGTTGTGGCAGCCTTGCTAGCCCCCTTTCATCCAGAGTGGCGGATTCCCGAGGCTGATTAGCTTGGTTAGCCTAGGGTTGCCTATGATCGGTGATTCCGGCCTCAAACCCTACTCCCTCCAGGGTATGACGCCTGATTTATGCCTTAAACAAAAAAAACGAAGCCCATAAGAGCTCTGCTGCTGCTACATCAGCCGTGTCGCCTAATCCTACCCCTCAACCCCTCCAAACGGGGGAAACACAAAGAAAAACACAAAACAACACTCTACTATGTAGTGAGGGGTCCATGCAGCCCCTTCCCTGACCCCTACACCAGGGTGGCGGGTGCCTTACTCCCTAAGACCTATCCAGAGATTGACCCCAACATGGGGCCGGGTAACCCGTGGCCAGGTTGTCTTTCCCATGTTATCTGGCTCTCTACGGGATATGGCCCCACTCCTCTTGTCTCTCTTCAGTGACCTCACTATTTGGGTACCTTGTAGCCCCTTTGTGTATGCCTGGTTGCTCCTTACATCCAGGGGCAGCATCCCGCCTCTGGTTACCTCACTTCGCAGCCCTTCACGCTGCTCCTGCTTGGAGTCTCTCGAAGGGGAAGTCTCCTCTGCCTCCCAAGGGTCCCCGACGCTCCCGTCTGTTATGGTGTCGATCGTCACATCCACCTCTCTGTTCCCTTCACTGCTGCTGCCTTTGCCGGCTGCAGGAGCTTCTCCTGGCTCTTCATTCACTCCGACGAGCCGTCCCCCACTGCTGCTGCTATGGTCGGCATCAGGAGCCTCCTCTGGCTCTTTGACTGACCCAACGAGCTGTGCCCCTGTCTCCCTGAGAGACTCCCAAGAGGCACCCTGTGGTGGTGCCTTCCTCTGGTCTGCTCTCTCTCCCTCTCTCTGGTCTGCGCAGGTCTCCCTCCAAGTTCCAGCTGTGCCA